TTCACCTTCTGCCTGGTCCTTTTCACTGGAGCTACCGGGGATCGAACCTGCAACCTCCTGCGTGCAAAGCAGAGGCTTTTCCACTGAGCCCCTCCCTCCGTTATCTCCTGCTCCTTCATCCACTAGTGGACTCGCTGCTGTTGTCCCTGACACAGTCCAGAATGCTCGGTCATGAAGGCTGACGGCAGACCCTTCCATGCCAGCCTCCAGCAAGTAGGCCAATCGAGCTCCTTGTGACAACGGCTGCAGCGGACGAGCCCGCCGAAGGCCACGGGGAACTCAAGAGATGTTCAGAGGTGGTTTTTCTCCCGGGCCCCCCCCCCCCCTTTGGCAAACCTTGGGGAAGCAGCCATGGCTCAGCAACAGAGCATCTTCTTTGTGTGCCTGAAGCCACAGGTTCGACCCCCAGTTTCTCAATTAAAAAATAAAAATAAAAAATCAGGTTATAGTGTTGGTGGAAAACGTGGTAAAGTCACAGCTGACTTATGGCGACCCTTCGTGGGGTTTCCAAGGCCAGAGGCGTTCGGAGGTGGTTTGCCCTGGCCTGCCTCCACATTACAATCCTGGTATTCCCTGGAGGCCGGCCAGGGCCGACCCTGCTCAGCTTCCGAGATCTGAAGAGATCGGGCCAGCCTGGGCTGTCCGGGTCAGGGGACAGGTGATGTGAAATATCTCTGAGGCCCAGGAAAGACACGGTCCCGAGCACGCAAAACCGACCCAGGCAGACCAAAGGTTTGACTCAGTAGACAGCAGCTTCACCTGTTCTTGTAATGTAAGGGGGACTCTGCCCTATATTATTTGTCCAAAAAAGGTAACGATTCCCCTGTCGTAATTCTCTCTGAAGAGGAGAAAGTGCAGAAATCCAGGCTATTTTGTTCAGTTATCAGAGAAGAAGAAGAGGAGGAGGAGATTGGATTTATACCCCGCCCTTCACTACCAGAAGGTGTCTCAGAGTGGCTTACAAACTCCTTTCCCTTCCCTTCCCCACAACAGACGCCCTGTGAGGCAGGCGGGGCTGAGAGAGCTCTGACAGAAACTGCTCTTTTTCAAGAACTGGTGGACCTCCTGAGGGCACCTGGTATTTCTGGCCACTGTGTGATACAGAGTGTTGGACTGGATGGGCCTTTGGCCTGATCCAACATTGGCATCTCTTATGTTCTTATGTTCTTAAGAACAGCTGTTATCAGAACTACGGCTTGCCCAAGGTCATCCAGCCAGGTGCAAGTGGAGGAGTGGGGAATCAAACCCGGTTCTCCCAGGTTAGAGTCCACGCACTTAACCACTACACCAAACCACTACACTAAACCACTACACCAAACTCAGTGAGAGAGTCCCTTTAAAAAATGAAGACGAGAGCTACGAATCACAAGCCTCTGACATAAATAAGGACCTATAAAAGCAGGTAGCAATTTTTCGTTAGTTGCTCTCCTGCCCCAAATTATGCTTTTCGTGGGGAACGGCATAAAATAGTCATAGGCCAGGCTCAGAAGGTCACATTTGTTTCTTTACCCACTTCTTCCCAATACCAGGTAGATATTTCACATAACCTACCACCTGATCCACTTTGAGTGGGAACCGCTTGGCCATTTGGACATCGAAACATCTGCTTTTGGTACACCGGGAGTCCGGGACATTCCGTTTGGGGTTGTTTTTCGCCCCCAGCTTCCTTTGTGCCGCCAGCAAATGTTTAGATATTCAAG